TTGATGTAATGATTTTTTTTCTTCAAGCAACTTATGTGGAAAACAGAAGATCTGAGTGATGAGTCTCTTGGCTTCTGCAAAAGAGATCTGTCAGCATGACTGTGCAGGAAGATCAAATCTTAACTGCTGATGCTTTCCTGATTTTTCATGGCTGTTTCTCTAGAGGGAGAAAATGCTGTATTTGAATTGGTTTGCTTACAGTGTTTTTCATGCCAGTCTACTGTTTGGGGTAGACATCTGTTCTAGCTGCTTTTCCTTAACGTTGTTGTGTATGACTGGTTTTTAAATTTCAAACTCTGTTATGATTTACTATCACTACTGTGTCTAAAGGCTGTTTGGATAGCATGATGGACTAAATTTCTTGTGTTGCAGACCAGAATAAGTGTGCTATAAATACTGCTAGATTGCTTGGACTAACTTTAGATTTTTTCAGGCTTCCTAAGAGAGCAACAAGCTATGATCTTGGTCTTTTCAGACATAAAGATGAAAATTCCCTGATTGTGATTGGTGGGAGGTGCCTGTTGGGAGCAGTTGGGCAGCATTTTTGATCCTTACAAACCTGCATTCAGAGGAATTCTGGCTTATGATGCTGGGTGAAGCAGCTCATTAAATACCAGAGTTGATATTGTTGGGTGTGAGCAATGTCCTAAAAGGAGAGCTGTCAATATTTCATTGAAATAGAGGCAGCCAAATCCTCTAACTCCATCTAGCGGAAGATGGCAATTACCAATATCAGTCTGGCAATATCAGTCTGGCATTGTATATTGAAGTGTTTCTCAGCCTTGGCAACTTTAAGATGTGTAGACTTCAACTCCCAGAATTCCCTGGCCAGTACTGTACGCTCCCAGAATTCTGGGAGTTGAAGTCCACACATTAAAGTTGCCAAGGTTGAGAAACACTGGTATATTGTATGGAAAAATGTCTGTCTTCTCTCCTTTAGCTTGGGGATAAGTTGATTGGCTGTCCTAAGACCAATATATTGGATTTCCTCATTGTGAGCTTTGGGGTCTTGATTCCTTACCCTCTCCCCCAATTAAGGAATAGAAGCATGGCATGTGTATTTGTGTTTGAGGAGATCTTGCTGAAGTTTCTCTTTTCCTTCTATTTCTTGCGAGCAAGGATGTATACATCGGTCAAACTCCCTTGAACGGAGGTGAGAAGAAGAAAAGTACAGGTAGATCTCGCTTAATGACTGCCCTGTTTAGCGACCATTCATAGTTATGACAGCACTTAAAAAGTAACTTTACGACCAGACCTTGCATTTACAACCATTGCAGAGTCCTGCGGTCATGTGATCACCATTTGCATACTTCACAGCTGGTTTCTGACAAGCAGAGACAATGGAGAAGCTGGCAATAAAATCGCAAGTTGCAGTCACATGATGTCTTGCTGAATGACCTGTGGTGACTTGCATAACAACTGAATGGGAAGTGACGTCATAAGTCCGTCGTGGTCACGTGATGTTTCACTTAGTGACCATGTTGCCGGTCCCAACTGTGGTCGCTAAGTGAGGACTACCTGCATCATCACCCTGATATTCATCTTACCCTTTTGGGAGTATATTGCCTTTGTAAGCTGGTTAGATTTGTTTTGCTTTCGTTTTTAATTGAAGCAATAGAAAAGAGCCTGCAGTGTCTTCATAGTCACTTCTCTTTAAGCCTTTGGAGCATCTGTTTCCAACTATGAATATCTGGAGTTTTAAAGAAATCTGCTTAAAATTATTAAATGCTAGAGTACATTGCTGAATGTAAATGACTCTTTTTTCAGGGAGAGGGAGAATTAGGATTTTGAGCATCCTGCCCCACCATTTTGTATCATGGCCAGTCTTTTTACAAATACAATCTACTTTTACCCCAGTGGATTGTATTTCTGAGGTTCTTTGTACTCGTCTCCTCTCTTAATTTTTTTTTTTTAGTTTTAGTGTCACCCTTGGTGAAACCTAGTTTAAATCAGGCTACAATTCAGTAGTAGTCAAGCCTCAAGCAGTTCTCTCTTTCATGACTTGCTGAAGGACTTAAGTTGCACTTGTGTTTAGTCATCCAACTCTCTTCTCCGTCCTATTACTTGAAGGAGAAAATATTGTATTGTCTGCCTGGGTTATCCCATTGAGATTTATTTGAATCATCTCTGCTTTGATCTCCACAGTTTGGGTGGTAGGTGCAAATTTGTTGAATATCTAAAATCTCTTCTACCTGTTGTCTGAAATAAAGATGTGTCCCATGTTGATACTTTTGAAGGGCTTCAGAGACATTGTTGCTAACAACTATGGCAAATGTTTCTAAAAACCATTTGGAAGCATAATTCTACATTATTATTTCTTTCTGAAAAATTAATTGACAATCCTTATTTGACCCAGGCTGGCTTCTTTGTGTGGATCAGTCAATATGTGTTGGAGCGGTGCTTTTGGTCACCTTGGTGTAGAAGCACAAGAGATATAGGAAGAGAAGGAAAAGTCTTTCTCCACAGTTCAACCAGGTCTCCCTTCTCCTCTTCCGATCAGTCAATCTCCTTATGCTTCAGCTTTCAAAAGAAGCCTTTGTTGGGTTGCCATGCAAAGAAAATGAAACTGGAATAGCTGCCAGAAGACAGATGTTTCTGGAAAGAAGACTGGAAGAACTCAAGTCTAATGTCCCATGCAAGGGAAACAGGATTAAAAGTGAGCTGCAAAGGAGGAACGTTGATTATAATACAAATCATTATGGGATGTGTCATGTGACAGTCCCAGCTTTTAAAACCAAGCCAAACACACTCCACTATGCTTTGGTTCTCTGAGTTGGGAAGAGCTTTCTTAGGGGCACAAAATGTGACAAATTTCTGACAGAAATATCTCATCCTCCAAACATGTACAAGACAGCTTGCTAGAAGAGTGTTGTAGAAGCTTGCAACTGACTTCCTGAACTGCTAGACTAGTCTTACCAATCTGGCACCTTACAAATGTGTTGGGTTTCAGCACACAGAATCTGCCTGTGATTCTGACTGCTGGCTGTATTGGCTAGGGATTCTGGCAATCCAAGTTCATCCTGTCTGGAGGTCACCATGTTGGGGGAGACTTCATTAGTAACACTGATTAATGCTTTCTGTATGTGCTTTTTTCCCCTCTCCTTTCCCCAGGAAGATCTCCTGGGTGGAAGAAAATTAGACCTTGCTTTATTTCCACCTCGTTGATAGCAAAGTCACAGACCTAGAATTCTAATTTTAAGACCTACTTTTAGATAACAATTGCAATCCAGTCAAGGAACATAAATCTTGTCTGCATTTAGATATAAGTGCATGCCAAATAAAGAAATCCAAAATCCAAAACGTTTGTATAAACACTGAGATATTGTGTCTTTTTGACTCCTTTTCTGACCATGAATAGGGATTAAAAGAGAGAAGAAATAATAGTTCCTTGCAGAAAGGTTTCACTGTTAGTGACATTTCATTAATCAGCTACTGAAATTAATAACATAAATTAAAATATTAAAAACATAAAGTTAGCTATGGTCCTAGGTGGTAGACCTGAGGTTTGTATACAGAAGGTCTCTGATTCAATAACCAGTATCCCCAGGAAAGGCTAGAAAAAATCTTGCCTGATGTCTTGGAGAACAGCTGACAATATTCCCCTAGGTCAGGGGTTTCCAATCTTTTTGGGCTGGTAAGCATACTACAGGCACTCTCACAAAATGTTTGTCATAGTGGGTGTGGCCAGTGGCAAAACTCCCATTTACCAGAAGTAAATGCTCTTGGCTGGAACCACTCAATGTATTTTTTAAAATGGTTCTGAGGTCTACCTAGGGCCTCTAGCTTTTGTTGAAAATTCAGGTGATGCTGGAGATGATGCTTTGTCTCTAGTCTTTTTTTTAATTAAAAAATAAATTTAAGGAGCAGAGATTTTAGTAGATTCCAAAGAACATGTTGGAATTGATTCCTGTGGGTGCCATGTTGATGATCTAGCTATTAGATGGATCACAGCAAGGCTCAGTATATTGCTGCGTCTCATATACCTTTCTGTGTTAATCCAGGAAGGAATAATAGAAGTGATACATTGCCACAAGAACATTGGGGTGGCAGTTCAGAAAAGGAATCCAAAGATACAGCTTTCCAGAGTCTTTTGAAATTGAGGTGGGCTACAAATACCATAGTACAGACCACCTTTCTTGGATAGATGTTGATTGATTTGTTGTGAGAATGCCTTTAATCTTGAGGATATTAGAAGCCTGCTTTTGTGTTTTATATTTGGGGCTGTTGCAAAGCTGCTGTGATCTCTTCTTAGTGGGGACTGGAATGGTACAAGATCTGAAAATCTATCAGGGTGCACATACGTTTTCTCGGTGGAAATACATTTAAGTGTAGCAGTGATGGGGCTAGTAGAACAGAAGGCCACAATAAATATTTCGCCTAAGATTTGGTGGAGGCTATTACATTCACTTGACTGAAAACCCCTCCTTCTGTTGAGGTCCTTGTCAGGCAGCTATCCTTCTGTCTTATCTCTGGGCTGTGAGATTTATTACTTGATGCAGAGTAATTCCAAAGAAAATGGAGTGGAAGCTTTCTTATTCCTAAAAGGCTGTTTTCTCATTGGGCTTATGAAAAGTTGAGAATACATATCATTAAATTATTATAGAGTTTCCTTAATCACTGGAATCAAGAAAGTAGATGTCCCAAGGATTCTTACTTCCAGGAAATTGGCCTCTGTGGACCTTACATGAGTCACCCCTGTTTCTTATCAGTCACCTTGCCTTTTTCCCCCCAGCAGATGACAGGATCTTTCCTACTTAATCTGGTGTGCTTTGTGTCTTAAAAGTTTGCATAATTATCTCTATTCACAGTTTTTATTTATTATCAGTGCCTCTTGCTTGCCTTTTTCTCAGATTCTCAATGAGGCTTTAATTTTGTATGAAAATATTGTGCTCGCTAACCACATGTTTTTAGTGCCGTTTTGAAAAATGTTCAAAACTGGCCTTGTTCTGATGTGCTGGGAAGATAGTGGCTGCTTAACTCTTTTCTTTTCTTTCCAACAGATGGTTTGTTCAACCAGTACATCAGTCAACAGGAGTACAAACCACGGTGGGGTCAGATAATTCCCAAAAGCACCAAAGGTACTGTATTGAAACCTAGTTTGTAGAGAGCTATTTGGAGGACCTTCCTGATGTGTAAGGTAGTGCCAAATGCAGGGATCAGGACGCTACCAGATTCAATTGCAGGGCTATTAGTCAGCCAGTCGTTTGAGATCTGTGCTGTTGAACCATGGAAAACTGGCTGACTATACCCTTAATGGAATGAATAAAATTAAAGTACAATTTCCATTCATATGGGGCGGTCACTGAGGGAGGCATCATTCCAGTTGCTCTTCTTGTTGTGTTCTGCTCTGTGGCTTTAGAATCAATGGCCCAGAGAGGCCTATACAACTACCTTTTGTGATTAGAATTGACTGAATGAATCCTTGGTTCTTTTAGCTCAGGCTTGTTAGATCTGACAGGCAACAGCTCTCTGGAGGTCTGGGCTAAGAGGCCTTTTCTATCTCTGCTAACCTCGCCCAGTTCTCTTCTGCTTGTGGCTTTTACTTATGGCTACCGATAGTGTGTCTTTTTCCAGGAATGATGTGTTCCAAATTTTGTTTCTTTGCTGCAGCTAAAGTTCTTGAGATGGGTGGGAGGGAAATCCACTAATGATAGATTGTGTTTTGTTTTGTTCTGTTCAATCCAAACAAGGTGATGGTGAGGACAGCAGGCCTGGAATGAGAGGGGGGCATCAAATGGTCATTGATGTTCAAACAGGTGAGCCTTCTTACTTCTCTTGCTTTTTTAACAGGCTCAAGTCCACCCTCAGCCACAAAAAAATGATCAGGTGGCTTTGGGTCAATCACTGGCTCTCAGCCGGAACCATCCTACAGGAATCTTGCAGGAAAAAAATTGGAGAAGGGGATGCTACGTATGCTGCCTTGAGGTCCTGGAGGAAAGGCAGGATATAAATTGAACAATTAAATAAATATTTCTGCTTTTGGTTTGGGCATGTAGGATTCCATTCTGTTGGTCATTTTTCGTTTGACTCAGCTGTTAAAATGGTGAACGAAGGCAAAAGGTAGATGAACAGGAACTTATTGCTGACTCAAGAGTAGGAACCTCTAGCCTTGGATGCTCCTGTTCCCCAGTGCAACAGTAAAGATAACTCTAGGGTTTTTTAAAGAAATACTGCGTAATCCTTAGCCAAAAGCAGATGTAAATAAAGAAACATCATGGATCAAACAGGACCAAGGTCTTCAGGATGAGCGTCTGATGCTCCAGTTTCAGTTTGGTGATTTGCAAGGCTGCTTTGCAAGCCTTACCGCTTGTTATTCTTGTCCATCTATCTGCTTCTTTGCCCCCTGGAAACCTGCTTCTTTGCTTGTCTGTTTCTGCTTCCTTGACTGGCTCCTTTTGCTCCCTTGCCCAGTGATCCATTATGGAGTATGGAATATTATCCGTCAAGTCAAACTAAATAAACTTGATTGCCTGGATTTCTTGGGATTTTCAACCAATGAAGGCTGTTTTTGAGCCTCATTCAAGGGGCTGGCTGTGCCACATCTAAAGAAATCATATTTTGGATTTATTCCAATAGCTCATTTTTAGATTTGACACATCCATTCAGGGCCAAAGAAGGCCATGGCAAGCATCCTGTCTTCTTCTGTGGTATTGGAGACATGATGTCATGAACTAGGATGGATATCTGGTTGAAGGCCAAGGTAAAGTTCTCTCAGAGGTTTATTTCATACTTGATGCTTTCATTTTGGGGAGAAAATAATTATACTGGATAGATAGAATAAAGGCTTGGGTTAATTTTTTTGCTTTTCATTATTTTAGCCATGATAACTTTTTAAAAATGTAATCTATATTTACTTTGGTCCTTGTGCAAATAGGCTGCTAATGGAATTGAATTCTGGATGTTTTGATGTCTTAGGGCAATTTGTCTGCTTGTAATAAAGCTCTTTTCCCTTTCTTCCTTTGAATTTTGATATTCATTAAAATGTACCATATACTTTATCTGAATGCTTATTTTTTTTTTCAGTTTATTGTGTTGATTCTGATTTTCATTTCTTGTAAGCTATCTTGAAAATGTGAGGAAATAGAATAAACAACTCTCTAAAATGTTATGCTTGCTTCTAACCTCTGTCATGTCATTTTCAGTATATTCATAATGCACAAGCATTTAAATTAAGAAGAATGTCACTGAGCTTTAATTAAAGCACGACACATTTCCTTTTGGTTAAATAATTGCCACCAAATATTTATCTCTCCCTCTTCCTCCAGTTAACTATACATGTTCTAGTTATAATCGCTTAGAGGAATTAAATTATTACACACCATCATTATTTCAGTAACTGCTGATGCAGTTAGAAAGCACCTCCTAGTGGATAGAAAATGTGATAGGACTTGAGCTTTTATTTGAGAATTCTAAAATAATAAGATTCAAACATGAGAAATGTGATGGGAAATAACGTCCCTCCAGGCTTGCATCATGGCAGATTTTGTTAGAAGGCTTGGCTTCTGGAATTCTACAATTTTTCTCAACAAACTGGATTAGAGTTTTTAAATATTAGAGGTCAGTTTTCAGGGTCAAGGGCTGCAGAATCATACTAATATATATCCCCTCTGTAAGTACCTTAATTTGGGAACGTGGGGTGAAAGCTCTCTATCTGGATCACAGATGTTCTTCATAGCTTTCCCATAGAATAGGTTTTCTTTGTACAGTAAATGTTGAAAAATACTCTGAAAGGAACGATTTCTGTAAATTCTGTCACAGATATTTCTTTTTTTTTTTTTTGAAAAGAAAAAAAGAATTGCTTTTCAAAGTGTTCTATCCCAAACCCCCCCAAAAAACAAACAAAAACAACCAAACGGAAGAAACATGACTCACATCTGGAAGGCAAGACTGGGTTGGATCGTTTCAAGGGCCATACAGTAGGATAGACCTTTCTTGAATTCTTGAAGGGACTACTATCACACAGTCCCATCAGAAGGGCCTGGCCCTGTGTCCAGGGACTGCGTGTGCTTTACTGCTCTTGGCCCCAGAGCCAACGAGAATTTGCAAGGATGCCCTTCAACTGTTGTATAGGTTTTTGCTGTCTGCCTTTTCTTCCATTACTCACATTGAAAAATAAAACGTATCTGTTTACTTAAAAGCACTACTAAAAGATTTTAGGCTATAGTGTGTGTTAGTAATTCTAATTGTAGTTATTTTTCCATCGTTTTTAGGTTTGATTATATATTCATATTGTTGTTGGTTATCTCTGGTTATTTAGTGTTTTAATTTTTGCTGCCACTGCCTTTAAATGTTAACATATATACCACATTTTATATTGCACTATATTATATTATAGTTTACATAGATTTAGTATATGTCATAACTTTTATACATAGGTTTTAGCAATGTAATGAATTTATAGCTTTGTGTTGATAATTCTAATCCTTAGTTAGTTTTCCGTATTTTATAGACAAGACTAGGAAAATCTTTAATTTTTTATAGTTCTAATGTTATTTTATGCTAGTTAATGACTAAAATAAAGATTCTGAAGATTTGAAAATCATATACAAAGAGTGGTTCCTCAAGAAATTGGAAAGATGTATCAAATGGGGTGCCACAAGTTTCAGTTCTGGGTCCTCTTCTCTTCAATATTTTTATTAATGGCTTTAATGAAGAGGTGGAGGGAATGCCTTTCAGATTTATGGATAATACAGAATTAGGTAGAAACAGCTAATACCTTAGCTCACAGAAATAAAATTCAAAGTGACATTAAGTAGTTTAGAGAAAATGGATGATACTAACAGAATGAAATTTACCAAGTGCAAAGTTCTTCTCTTAGGAAACAAAACTCAAATGCATAGGTATAGGATAGGGGATACTTAACTTGGTAAGTGGAATACAGGTGGTCCTTAGTTACTGACCACAATTCCAGTGCAGTTGTTAAGTGAAATGTCATGTGACTGCACTGGACTTATGACGTCAGCTCCACTGGGGTTGTTAAGTGAATCACGGCAGTTTTAAAGTGCAATGTCCTGTGACTGCAACTTGCAATCTCCTGCCGGCTTCCCTATTGACTTTGCTTACTGGAAGCCGGCTATGAAGATCGTAAATGGCAATCACGTGACCACTAGACTCTGCAGCCATTGTAAATGCACACTGGTTGTGAAGTGCCTGAATTGTGATCTTGTAAACGCAGGAACGCTGTGACAGCTGCAAGTTTGAGAACCATTTGTAAACCTTATTCAGTGCAGTCATAACTTTAAACAGTCGCTGAACAAGGTAGTCAGTAAGTGAGGACTACCTGTAATTGGAAATGAATAAAAACCAACAGTGTGTGATATAGCTGCAAAAAAATAAAAAATAAAAAAGTGATTCTAGGCTACATTAACAGAAATATAGTTTCCAAACCACAGGAAATAGTTTTATCTAGTTCGGTCGGGCTCCATCTTGAATCTTATGCCCAGTTTTGAGCAGTGCACTTTAAGAAGGATTCAAGAAATTGGATAGGTTGAGAGATGGCTGGCGAAGATAGGGACTTAGAAATTAAGCCTTAGATTGAAGGATTGAGGTCTGGTTAACCTTGAAAAAAGGTAACAGGGGGACATGATAGCACATTTTAAATAAAGGATGTCACGCAGGACCTCAAGACCTGTTCGCTCTCATTCCACAGTGCAGATCGCAGAATAATGGACTTAAGGCACAGGAAGGCTTGTTCCCACTGAAGGTGAAGAAAAGAATTCCAGACAGTAAGATGGTGAACTTTCCTGCATAGGATGTGTTTCAGCAGAGGCTGGACAGCCATTGGTTGAGGATTTTTAAATTTGGATTTTTATTCTGAGCACAGAGTTAGACTTTATTATTTAAATGGCGCCTTCCAATTCTGAGGTTCTGTGATAACCAGGTTGGAAAAGATAGAGCAGATTATGCTGAATTAGTCCTGTCACTTGGCTTTCTGGCTAAGATCAAGTGTGTGGTGGATTAGGTAGTCCTGTTGACTGGATCAGTATTAAAAAAAAAAACAACCTTTAAACCCTTTTTTGTTGTTGTTATTTTTAGGTAAATGGTTAAATTTATATTAACTGCCTTGGGAAGGTATCAACTAAAAGGCAGTCTGGAAATGCAGTGAGCATAGTCCATAACGTTTGGCGTTCTAAAGTGCAGCTTCTTTTAAAAAAAGGGTGGGGTTTTTTTTGGCTTTCAGGAGACCTTGAATTATGCTCAATCACATTTTTACTAGGCCATTTTTGCAGCAGGAAAGGCCTTGCAGGGCCTAGTTTCAAGTTGCGGCAGCCAGAGTGAAATAAAAGCTGGGAAGGAAGTTTCCGATGCATTTAGAAGAACTGTTCAAAGAGATGTTTTAGAGGTAATTGGGCTCTGGAGATAGTAGAAGCAGGTTGAGGCTTAAGTGAAGAAATATTAGCCTTTTATGGGATGACACTGCCTGAAAAAGTTTTAAGGATACTCATGAAAGGAGCCAAGGGTTTTTATTATTATTATCATCATTATTTTTATTTCAAGCCATTGAGGCAATAGCTTGGGGTTCACCCATGATGCTAAGCCATAAGGTGGTTGGCTTGTTGTTGCTCAGTACAGTGTGTCAGCCTAACTCCAGCTGAGTTCCAGCAAAGCAATTCTGCTGAACAATTGTGCAACCTGTTAGTAACTTGAGAAGGTATCAGCCAAGAATGCACCGTTGTTTACTGCGTCAGCTCAGAAGAATAGAAAGAAGTTGAAAGCAAAATCAAGGCTTTTATGTTAAAGAACAGGAAGTTCTTTCTAATAAAAATAGTTCAGTAACGAAACTTAAAACTTGGAAACTTGAATATAAAAGTTGAATTCATGAGAATATGTAGAGTGGATGTTTTAAGATTCATGTTCTGACCTTTAAAATGTGGATTTCAAGAATTTGAATATGGCACGGGAATAGCAGCAAATGGTAGAACAAACAGGCGTTTAAAATAATACTTTCTTACAGAGATTGCTTTTGTTCTGTGATTCTTAGGTTTGACAATGGACCAAGAATAACTTTTGTTATTTATAGCACTGTCACCTCGAGAGAACAATTTCTCTATCAGCTCAGGAGATAGGAAAGTTAGAGTTTTACTCATTCTGCGCGTGGAGAGGTGAGGGATGGCTGAGTCTTTTAGAATATAATTGCAAAATAAAGCGCATAACAAACATGCCTGTCTGTGTCCTGTGCCATCTAAGAGTTTCGTTTATGTTGGTGGGAATACATTCTCTTTATACACTTGAGGATTTTCAATCTACCACCTTCCCATCTGATTAATTCCGATTTGTGAATGGTGTACCCATTCTAGACTTTGCAAGATGTTTTGTCTGAGGCCTCGTAGGATATGCGGCATGTGCCAAATCTGTTTTCCCTTCCCTTGGTTGTCAATTGGTCCATTGTAGTAAATGTGGGTTTTGTAAGCTGTGAGAATTTAGGCACACAAAGAGATGTACTCTTTGCAAGGAACACTGGCTACCCAGTGCCCAGAAAGAAAGTGTAATTGCAGTTAATGACCCAAGGTAACCTTTTGGTGGTGATGCTGACAGTGGCCATTACAGCTGTTGCAAGCAGAGGTTATATCCAGATCCTTCTTTTTTTTTTTAATCACTTTTCTCCCTCTGAAACTTTATTGCATCATACAGCGGTAATTTTGGATGGACGTTGCTTAACTGCTTTGCTAAAAGAATCCTGGGGTCGAATCCTTTGGGGGATCCTTAAAAATAAAGTGAAAACTTCTAATGCCACAAATATTCAAACTTCCTTTAGGGGTTACCTTAGGAGTTTATGTCCATCTCAGAGGAGTCTGTGGTCCATAAAGGGATTACAGTCATTCCCACAAATCAAGAAGGTCCAAAGGATACTTGATGCTCCCTTGTTATTGGTGGTCAAGGTCTGGTTTGGAGGGAAGTTGTCTTCTGAACAGTCTGTCTCTCATTGATGATAAATTCTAACAAGATTTCCCTCTTCCTAGAGTTTTCCAGAACACAGTACAAAGCACACTGGAGACAAAAGACTGCCTTTTACCTTTATTTTTGGGAAGTTAGCAGAAGTGCTAATTTGAAATGAAAACAGAATAAAGGTGGCATCATGGCTGCTCTTTGTCTGTCTTGAGAAAATAGGTTAAGGATGATGTTGGCTGGGAGCCTTTTGGGCAGGTCTAGTACACTGTTTTAATTTCCCAGTATAATGGAGCTGACATAAGTTAAGATGTATCTTGAGAGGAACGGATGTCAGACTGGAGATAACTTGGACCTGTTTCTTAGGGCGGCTACGACAGAAACTCCATTAAGAAGATGCCTTTTGCAACCTTTGTAATCTTTCAGCTTTTTCTACTTTCTCAGTAGCCATGTCATTCTTTTCTTCTCTGTTACTACTCATTGGCTCTAAAGATGAAACACATTGAGAATGAAAAGAATGTGTGAGTCTGAGCTAGATATTGTTGTGGGTGCAAATGACTGTTGTCTATTTTCCTATCACTTCTGGATAATTGATATTTTGCTGTTCAGTATGGTAGGAATTATTGTCAAACAACTCAGATATAAAGCTCTTTTTAAATAGGAGATTGTCTGTTTGCCAGGTATCCTCCATGAACTGGTCCTTCTTGACTCTTGGGCTCAATTCCTGTTTTCTTCTTTCCTCTGATTGCTTTCTTTCTAAGCAAGGGATGGAGAAGATAGTTGGAAGCCTTGAGGATTATGTAAGCGCAGTTTGCCTGGATAGCACCATTTGCGCAGCCCCTAACGTAAGAGGATTTGAACACACAATTCTCATAAGCTTAGGGCTGAAATAATACCCCTTCAAAGTCTACAGGAACACAGAAATTGTAATTGAAGTGCTTTGAAGAACTTGGGAGAGAGTAGCAGGGATACCCTGGAACACGGGTTTGAATGTTTATAGATCCATTATTTTATCAAAATTCCGCTTCAAATGTTGGCCAATTTAAGGCACTTGCTAGCATTCTTTCTATAGCATGAATTACAGATACCTTCAGCATTTTTGAATGTTCAGGGATAAAACTCAGTAGGAGTCTTTCCCCCAAGTACTCTTAGAATTCGTATCAAGACATTATTCATGGTTTGTACCTTTACTTTCTCATTGTTACTGAAAAAGTTTTAATTTTTTTAAAAACAATTTTATTGAAGTTTTTAGTAAACATAGTAAAAACTAATACAAACTAAACTAGAAGGGGAAAAAAAGTTCAGAAGGTGCAGGGAAAAGGGAAAAAAGTAGAAGAGAAGAGAAAAAGAAAAAGGATAATAATAACGAAGTGGCTTCCAAGCTTCATTACACCAAGCATAAACTAATGTAGTAACTTTTCACCCTCTTTTAAAATTAGAAATAAAAAAACTCTTCTTCCCATAGCCTAACTTCTATCTATACACAATCCACAGATCGTCATCTTTTCAGTCCTGGTTTAGCAAAAAGTCCATTAGGAGTTACCAGAAATATCAAACGAATAGAGTTTTAAATTTCTGAGAAATGTTTTGTGCTTTGCTTTACGATGGCGGTCTTACTCTTCACGGGCTAATGCCTTTTTCTAATGTTTTGATCAGAAACAGTATATTTGTTTGGCGGCTGGGATGGGACGCAAGACCTGGCGGACTTCTGGGCATACAGTGTGAAGGAAAATCAGTGGACGTGTATATCCAGAGACACGGAAAAAGAGGCAAGTTTCTTTGTTTCCTTAGGAGCGTGCATTGTAATCCAAGCCGGGTGTTGGCCCAGATAACACAGTTCTGAAGCATGCCTTGAGCAAGCACGGAGGTCAGAACCTCACATTCTCCTTCCTGTGCATTCTAAGAGAATACAAAGTCGTGACCGTTTTGAGTCTCCAGTATCTTTCATAATAGTTGATAGAAATGTTGGCTGTTCTGTTGCTGAACATAAACAAAGATGCTTTGGCAGAACAGAATGAAGCAAAAAACATGTTTAGTGGAAGTTTTGGAATCAATTGGAGACTTTAGTCCAGCAAGCTGTGCTGGGCTTCATCAAATATCTATGCAGAGAAGCACTAAACTAAATCCAACGTT